GCTAGAAATGAGTGAAGTTTCAAATAAAGATTATTATTATTATTATTATTATTATTATTATTATTATTATTATTATTATTATTATTATTATTACTAGTATTAGTATTATTATTAGTATTATGTATTTTTCCGCAGCCAACATTAGAATGCAGTTTCGAACGATGACTGTCGGAATTGGGGAATCCGTCACAATCCAACTCAGTAAAGGCGAAGCTTATACCAACTTACGATGGAGACAAAATTATGGTGACGCAATTCAAATGTGGAACGGTGAATCGTCTGTTACGATTTCAAATATACGCGCTAAAGATGACGGGGTATATGAATGTTATACCGATGGCAGTCCCGTTAACAACAACCGCGGAGTAATGAGACTCATTGTTAGAGGTAAATAAGCGATTCATTTTCAAAATCACGTTTTTTTTTCTTTAAATGCATCAGTCATGGGCCCTACTTTTCCAACTTACCTTTCTAAGAGCATTTCCCTTCTTTTTTTTTTTTACGGTAGATCAGTTTTACTTTCGGAATCTCATACTACTCTTCTTACTGAACATAGTATAATCAAAAAAGTAAAATCTGCTCACTGCCGGTCTTTATTTTAATCTGCTCCTCACATCTAAAAAAAAATTGTTAATTATTAATAATCCGAGATTGACACTTTATAAACTTAAAAAAAAACCAAAACTACTTGTACAGTTAACTAATGCCTCATACTTCCTTGGACTGTTTAGTTGTTGGTGATCTGCATCTCAAGCGGATCACCACTTGTGATTGTCAAGTTCCTTTACATCTTTTTTATTCTTCTTTCTTTCTCCCCTTTTTGGTAGCCCAATATTACAAAATTGCCAATAGCTTAACGTTAAAACTTCAACGATCATTTTGCATAGCCTGGAATAGTTACAATTAGCTTTTCAATGTGATCAGTCATTATCTAACATATCCTAACAAACTGTCATTTCAACATGATATTCAGTGGGCATAAACTTCAGGCAAAGGTTGAATGTCATGTTTCTAGATTTTTCGTGCGCGCATGATAACGCGCACGTACGCGTGCGTCAAAATTTTAAAATGCTCAAAATTACTTGTTTTGCCAAAATCGTGGCAATGAACTAATTTGAATGTAACATTACTTAAAAGGGACTTAAAAAGAAGCTAAAAAGGGAATGAAAAAAAGATATAAAATAAAACTTTTTGACAAAATTAGAGCATTTCAAAATATTTCACATTTTCAGCGCTGTGCGCTCATTTTCATGTGTGCAACACGTACATTAGCTAAATATATTGTGTTTTTTTTTTTTTTTTTTTTTACATATTTTGGGTTGGTTCTTGACACTGTATTCACATTTTTTCAGTCTATTTCAGAAATGGCCAATACATTTCAGAAATGGCCAATAAGAACGCCGTACGCGCGTATTAAACATTCGATTCCATTTGTGCGTTCGTGTCGAAATTAGTGAAAATATGCTAAAATAATGCCTATATTTATTCATTTATAGTTTCTTTAGATTCATGTGACCCAACTCGTCCTTGTGACGAATTCAAATATAGTTATTTATTTTTCTCTTCAGCACTACGATTTTGATGTAGCAGCGCTATATAAATACACTGTATTATGTATCTAATGTAAAAATTTCATAATGAAAAATGTAGAAATAATAAAGTATTGCTCTAAAGTCGAATATATTTAAATCGTTTCGTTCGTTTCATTTTCAAGAGGAAGTCCCACTCAGCAAGGATGATTTGAGTCATTATTACAACAAACAAGTTACAAAAAAGGCACAAGGCAGAGCTAACAGCATAAACAGCACATTCATAT